GTGTGTGTGTGTGTGTACTGGTTATCTGGCGAGTGAATCGTGAGAGGGCATCATATACGGGATCACACTCTGGCTCGCCACAGATAAAAGCCTCTTCTAACAATGCACTGTTGCGATACACATATTTGTACTAATGTCAAAAGTTGAAAGCAGTTAAGTAAATGATTCCTAATGAATCTAGACATAATATTTCGGCCAGTTGAGCTATATTCTCTAGCCTAGTCGTGGTGTTTGTGTCTTACAGTCTGCGTTAAGACCGGCGCTGTGACCTACTCTTAACCTATTAACACCTACAGCACTCGTCTGCTTGAATCCCTCCCAGTGATGGCTAACGTGTCTGAACCTCTGATTTGGTTTGGTGTTGGTGTAAGAGACGGCTGCAGACCAGTCCTGTGGTGAAGAGCGTAGGCCTACACTCATGGCTGGGTCAACAGTCAGCGTTTCACTGTAACTTGTTACAGAGGGGGCGTCTGACACGACTACATTAACACACATCAGGGTTTTTCTTCTCCTTCCTAAGAGCTTTTTCCAGGTCAATTCTGTGGCACATGATAGAGCAACAAGTCATCAACATAGTAAGGAAATAAGGTGCTTCTTGGTGACTTGTCTTTTTCTAATGAGCTCATTTCAACATCTTAGTATGTTTATAGAGATCGCATGTTCATGGCCGGCATCTCTCAGGCAAGATTTGTCCGTCTACTGCTATTACATTAGCAGTTGTGCTACCAATCATCGGTAAGAAGTAACTTGTTTTTTCATTATCAGATGAAACCTACTGTGGGGGACACATCTCATTCACAACAAACATAAGTGCTCTATAAAACAGTTCTGTATGTTGTAAGTCTCAGATTGTGAGCGGCACACTCAGGTCGGCCATGCGGCGTCCCTCTCCCCTGTCATGTGACGTGATCAAACCGTGAAGCTGAGGAGCTTCAGGGCAGAGAAGTGCTTCCTGCTGGTATAAAGTGACACACCCGAGCTCTGCGGGGCAACAACTCGTGGTGTTGGGCTGTCATTGTGACAACAGTTGCTCAATTAATCACCAGCTGAGGGCTGAGGGATCTTTGAGGCTTTTGATGCCACACGCCATTTATATATCAGTGGCTGCCTCGGTCGGCAAGCCTTTAAAATACACTTTGGAGAAATAACTTTGTAGAAATGTAAAATGATTCCTGGGATCCTCTACACAGACAATCAGGGGCCTTTTCAGCCTTGTTTCAAAGTTCTTGATTGAATGTGTGAGTCCAGTCTGAAGGGAACTTGCGGCAATGGGCCGAGCCCTCATTATTCAGCTCCATCTTTTGCTGGGCAGTATTATTCTTTTCTTTTTGGCCTTAACTCCAGAAGGTGCCTCAGAGTTTTTTCATTTCTTTATCACCTGGTAGAGGACTGTCCAGTGTGGTTTAACATTTTTAAAACAAAGTGCTTCTTTGTCTGAAACCACTCTGTTCACATTCTGACGTCTCTCACATAGATCTCTACCTTTAAACGTAGTTTTATATGTCATAACGATTTACTTAGGCGTGGGGGACAGCCCTCACAGTCTGTCAATTCAACTGTACAGGGGCTGGTTCAATTTCATTATATTTAAATACAACATTAAGTGCTTCTGTTGGGATAATACAATCAAAGCTTTGGGATACAGGGACAAGGGCATGGGAAGATAATATAATAATGCACTTTTTTTGGAGCAGGGTAAAATCTTGCATACTTAAGGGCTTAAGGTGCATAAACTCCAGGGTCTCTTAGCACAGCTAAGAACTAGGCTATGCTACATAGGTCAAAGTAAAATAGCACGCTAATACCATGGTGGTGCCGAAGTGCTCCAGTGATAGATAACCAATCAAATTATAAAATGGGCTTTGCTGTTAGCTTGTATGCTAACTCTGTGGGTAGCAATGAGTCTAGCCTGTGGAGTAGCGGGGGCTCGAGGGTCACTGCACAGCAGAACGTTACATCAATCCGAAAACTCACACGAGACACAAATACCAACCACGGCGACCAGGCAAGCCTGTAACCATAGAAACCACATCCAATCTGTCACCGTAACCGCAAGCTTAACTTCTGTGTGCAGTGATTCACACAAAGGGACCATTAAAAAAACAAACATAAGAAACTTAAAATTGTACTGATATCCAGACTTAAGAGGGGGAGCTTGTTTAAGATGGCAGGTTGTAATAGGGGCGGGGTTTCAAGCTTATTTTACTCTGAGTGCGAGAAGGAGGCATTTAGGATTTTTTTTTGGGGGGGGGGGGGGGGGGGGCGCTTACAGACTCATAGAGAAAACCTCTCTTCATAAAACATTGTAAAACCACATGAGAAAAAAAAGGGAGTAACGGCTAACTGCTTCAGCCAATCACATGCAGCAGCAGGGAGCAGGAGGAGGAGCCTCGAGTCCCCTCCTGCTTCATGTGATCATGTGCAGTTAGGAGGCGGGGCTACAAAACAGGGAAAGGCAGTCAAACACAGATAACTCTCTCAGAGCTGTGCATCCCAGGAAGGATGCCATCACTCCTCCTTCTGTAGTGCTCCGTCTGACGGGCAGTCGTCAAGGCAACAGGGGGCCTCCACTTCCACCCCTTCTGATTGGTTGTCTCTGGTGGCTAAGGCACAAGGGATTGGCTGGGCCAGGGGGGCCAGCTCCAAGGATTGGCCAATGGCGGAGGCCGCTGAGCTGCCATTCAGCTGCTGACTTGCGACCTCTGACGTGGAGCCTGCCTCCTCTGAGAGCTTTGGGGGGCTGCTGGCTGGGGGGGGCGATGACAGCTAGTGGAGAGCAGTGAAAAAGATTTTAACAGAACAGCATGGCAGATCTATGGCTTTCTGTGGTTTGTTGATATCAGAATAAAAGCTACCGATGTTTAAGTGACGACGGGTCCTACCTGTGTTCTGTTGGCAGGTGCCTTTTTCCCTCCCCTTAGTTTAGCTGGAATCTCTTTACCTCTCCTGTGAGCAGGAAATGGAGACACGATTAAATAGTCTACTGATTCCACACTGCACTTTTGTTTAAATAAAGTATGTAGTTGAGTCCTCTACTGAATGGAAACAGAGCTATGATATTTATTTCACTGCTTCTTCCCAGATCTGTGTGATATTTTAGTGGGTAATGTAAGACTGGGATACAGAGGTCAGGTTAGCTCACTTTGTTTTAACTTCACTCACATACAACAAAATACATTCATGTATCTAAGAATCACAATATTTTCTGTCTTCCCATAAATTTATTGTGAAAAAATGTTGAAACAAATTAACTCACCCCTTCCCTGCTCCCACTGAAACCACCTGCATGTTGAAACCTCCTCTCCCACGGATTGGTTTGTTCCCGGCCCACTGTCCCACCACCATCCCAGCTATCTCCAGTTTTCCTCCCTGAGGGGGGATGGACTGAATACCTGAAACCATAAAACGGATTAAGTGACTGCAGAGACACACGGAACATATCAGTGAAAAAAAATATTCCCGCTCTCACTCAATTCCACACAACAAGCTTACTGTACATAATGCAGACAATATGCATTACATATTCATCTTTATATATAGTACCGCATACTGTTTGATGATATGTTAAACATCATTGATCACTTTTTTAATAAATATATCGGCTATCAAAAGGTTTTACTTTCTAATATCGGGATCAGAACCTGAAAACAAAAACCCATATCTGTCAACACCACACTCAAGATCTGTCTTCAGAAATAGAATACAGGGTGTAAAAAAGAAGCATCTCTGTACCTGGGAAGGCTCTAGGTCTGTGTTGGGCAGGGTGATGTGGGTGATGATGTGGGGGCATTCCACCCATGGGGCGAGGCGGGTAGAGAGGAGGCATGGGGTAGAAGGGGGGCACCATAGCAGGGGGCAAGAAGGCAGGTGGTGGGAGAGGGGGAGGAGGAGGAGGGGGGCGGGACAGGTTAATGCCTTCGAGGATCGCCTGACGCATCTTCTCCACCTTGGACACCAGCTCCTCCTGCAGAACAGAAAGACAGGGGTGATGACAATGATTCTCTACATAAACTAAACTGCTCAGATTCTACAGCAACCTGGTGTTAAAGCCCCTTTAAGACCATTTTACAAATTGAATGAGGTTCCTTATAACTTCAATAAAAACATTTTTTTTTTACCATTACTATTATCAGGGACAAATCCAGTTTTTTTTTCTCACAGTCATCAGAGCTGCTCATTGTGGGAACTGTTGGTTTCTCCATAATTTTTAAGGTCTTGAACTTCAATGTGAAGAGCCTTGAGATAATGTATATTATGATTTGGCGCTATCCAAATGAAAGAATTGAATACCAGTGAGGGTGTTAACATGAATGAGCTCTTGGAAGGCATATATACCTGCCCCTCACACATGTCCAGCAGGGCGGCTCGGTCGCGGGAGGCCCGGGCCAGTTTGCTCTGAAACAGTTTTCCGTCAAAGAAGCCCCAGGGACAACAGTGTTCCCACGGCAATGGTTGGCCACACACATCATTGATGAACAGCGCTGTATCAACGCCGGCCATAAAGAGAGCAGCCAGCTGCACACCTCGGGCATCCACCTTCTCCACCTGAGAGGAAATATACAAATGAAAAAGCAAATACAACAGCAAGCCAAACAGAGGGATTTGTGGAAGAGAAGATAGAGGGATGAGAAGTTAGAGGAAGTGAATATGTGAATCGTGAACACAGTGTGTGAAGATGACACTTTGTAGAATTCTAAAACTACTATTTTTTCAATTCAGCTGCAGGATCTCAGCTCAGTGCATGTCTGAAGGCAGCTCAAGTAAAAATAATCAATTAAACAAAGAATAAAAAGAGCTTGTGGACACTTAAAGACACCACAGGATATGTAAGCAAGGCATGTTGTTTTTTTTTTTATTTGAAGAAGGGGTCCCATTTACTTCAACTGTGTTGGATTTGGCTACAACACTGTTTACCCCTGAAAAAGTTTTGTGGACCCAAACACTTCACCCCCCCCCATCATAGTGGTGAGTAGATAAAGAGGGAACTATCCCTTTAATTAAATGGAGAAAGAAACAGAACAAGTTTTTGACATCAAGGTTGATCTCCATTGCTTGAAACAGAACAGCAAGAAAAGGAACAAAGTTGGATCCTGAACTCGCAACATTCCTTAAACAGCAATGCTAATGCAGGCTATGCAGCGAAAGCAAAAAAGAACAAATAGCACCTTAATAAAGAGCATGACAAAGGAAACTAGAGGTAAGATTCAAGAGAACAATGAGCAGAAACATCTGTACTGTGTAAAGGCCTCAGAGATGGAAAGAAGTCGTGTCCCACCTTCAGCTCCTGGAGCTGGTCAGGTTCATAGAGCTGGCTGGAAACGGCCTGGGCCAGGAAGGCATCAAGCTCATGTCTCTGCAGGATCCTTCCTCCAGGCCACTGCATCAAATACCTGAGAGCAATGGAAAACAAACAACCTATGTCCACCAGCTTCAAACCTTCCAAAACTGCTGTCATAGCAGTGATAATACTACTTGAACACAGAGACCCCCAAAATCAAACAGCAGTTATATAAATGACACTAACATGAAGGGTAAGAAAGCAGAATTCATAGCAAACTGCATTTATTCCCTGCTGTGGACTGAGAAACTAGGCAGTAGAGTATTATTTGCAATCACATTCGATGAGCAAGTAACAATTCATTTAATTATTAAATTAATTCCTGGTTATATTCATAAAATATCTAAACATAAGGAAAAATGCCAATCCCACAGCTAAAGAAACATTGTTCAATGTTTCAAAATAGTTTTTAATGACTAGAATGTTTTATACTTTACATTATAGTATATCAGATCTAACTATGTTGGTTACAATTGTTTCAAAGACTCCCAAGAAGACAGACGGTATTTGAATTCATGCCTGGGTTTTAAGTTGTAAAACTTTGACATTTTTGTATTTGTTTGCCAATCACATGGTGCCTAAATGCATTATATGGGTTCTGTTTGGACAGATTGAACATGTCTGTCACTTGAATTTTTTTATTTACTGTTATTTAGTAAAAGTAATTTTTTATCTGTACAGTTACTTGAAAACTGGATTATTAAAATAATTGATACCTGCAGCCGTAAAACATACACGCACGTTTTAAAGAGGGATTATAACATAACTACAGTCAGCTGAGATGTACAACCCGTCGTACCTGAGCACGCAGCACATGAGCAGCAGATGCTGTGGAACCTGTGCTGGGTTGAGTAGCGCTGGGCAGTCGGAGCGAAGGCAGGCCAGGAAGGCCCTAGTTCTCCTGGAGCGGTCCTCACTGGCCCGACCCAACCACAGACGCCGCAGGTTGGGGCAGGTCCACTCCCGGAAACAAAGGGCCGGAACCAGCTCCGGAGTCAGAGCGGACTTAGCCTTACCACTACTCCACTCTTTGACAATCACAGGAGGAACTGGGACAGACCATACAGATGTTTGGGTTAGTTTAAAACAACTGAAAGGACAGTAGCAACGTTCTACCTGTGGGTAGTAAAGAACAATGGTACAGATGTTCCACCCGCACCGAGTAGAGACAACGATACAGATGTTCTTCCCACGTCTAGTAGAGACAATGATACAGATGTTCCACCCGTGTATATTTGCAGATACAAACACTCTTTCTCCCAGCTTTCTCCCTTGCTCCTCCACAGCCAGTGCAAACAGCAAACAACCGCTACACGCAACAGCGGTGCAGCCGTTCCACAGAGCAACGGCAGCTAGTGTGACCCAGTTATTAACTTTGAAACTAAGCTTGAACGGCACTCAGCTCAAGATTCTTAGTCCTAACTCTTCATCCCCTCCTTCTTAACTCCGCAGGAATCTCAGGTCTTTTCTCAGAGTATCCTCATGTTGCACAGCGCTAACAGCTGTTCCCGTGTGTAAACAATGGAGCCATGGCTGAATGGATCTCCCAATGTAGTTTTAAACATTCCTAGAATAATTAAAGGCATATAACTTCAGCGCATTTGCATTGTTAGGTGAACACAGTCGATGGAAACTAGTGTGAAAGAAAACATGCGAAAACAACAAAAATACAATAATAGCTGTAACTAGCTTCCACTCTAGCGCCATCTTGATGTTGATCCACGTGGATATATAATGACTTAGAACCGCTATATCGAACAACCCTAACTTCTATTAATGGTGACCCAGGATACATTCACAGATTAAAGAATGTGGTCACATGTCTCAGAAACCTCCTCATGTGTCTTGAGTGACCAGATCTCAGGATTTGGTTGAGTTTAGACCTGAACTGATTGGTGATTAAAACATCACTCAGGATGGATGTTAATGACAGTCGGTCTAGGTCTACAGGAGAACCTATAATTAGTCGGGTTGCACCGTTCCTCTTTTACTTTACTTTGCTTGAGTCTAGGAGTAACTGTGTGGACATGTGGTGTCAACAATAATCAATGTGTCTCCCATATTTGCTCCATCTATCTGCACTTCTCTGACCTACCTTCCAGGGGAGCCCTCTTTCGGATTGCAAGCCTCTCCAAGCGGCGGTGTGTTTCGGCCAGACTGAAGAGGACGCCGTAGGCATACTGTCTGGCAGCACGGAACAGCAGCGAGGCAGGAGGCAGCTCAGAGTTACACTCATCCTCTATACACACTGGCATCTTCATCTCTCCCTGAGGTGGGAGGTTGGTGGAGGAAGAGGTAAGGACAAAGGAAACAAGCAGAGAGTTTACTGGGAGGAAGAATTCAATTTTATTTGTACAGCGTCAAATCATAATAAGAGATCTGACAAGGTTGATCATCATCTGTGCCATCTTGTCAACCCTTCTTTCACCAGAAAAGACACTGCAGAATACAATCTTGAAGAAATAAATGCAAGAATGAATTTAACTGGGATGTTCTAACTAAGGAACAGTTTACCTTGGTCAATATGTGATAAATCTGTGGGTACATCAATCCTCTTCTGTGTCTGTGTTCGGCTACACGAAGAACCTCAGCACTGACCTAGCAACACAACAGAGACATAAAGAAAGTGCAGCATACATGTGTTGCTGTGTTACACTATTTCATGTGTGATTTTCACCTGAGGCAGAGGGGGTGTGGTTATGTCCATGTGACTCCGCGTCGCCATAGACAACAGTGACGGAATGTTTGATCCGCTCCCATTGCCTTGGGAACCATCCCCAGAGGCAGAGCCCCCCCTTCCGGCAGAATCATCCCACCGTGAGGGTTTGTCCGTCAAATGGCTGAAAGAAAGGGATTATGGGAGAGTTTATATCAGTCTGGTATTCTTCATGTTTCTGTGATAAATTAATGAAGATTCATAAGTGGCTGAAATTGTATCCAGGTCATCCCACAATTAGTGTTGCAGTGAAAATAATTTTCTAAGGTATTACTCATATGGACTAAAAATAAATAGCTCTAACTGTCTCTGCATTGTTGGCTTTTGTATACCAATACTATAGAGGCTGAATAAAATGAGTGTTGTGTCTAATCCTAAATTGTTTTCAGACATTTAGTCCAGAAAATTAGTTTGCACATTTTCCATATGAAGAACACTGGAGCAGATTGTCTGGGTCCAACATGTACATTTTGTTGACAGCACATCCACACCAACATCGGCCCAAAAGCTCTGGAATCTCCTCGTCTCTCCAAGTTGACTTGAGTCGTCTTCTGCGTGTACGTCATCCTGATTTGTATTCTTCCAGTTTCACGTCCGTCACGTGTTAGAAACCCGTGTCCACTCGCTCACTGCGAATGTTCCAGACATTTTCATGCTGTATTCTCACATGGACTCACTGATACTTAACGAGGTTCCAGAAAATGTCTGTGTTCTCACTTACAGCCACGCAGAAGATAATTCAGGAGATAACCAGCGTTCAGTTCATATTTGAACACAGCTCTCTTGTCCGTCTAAATAAAAACCTCTGCAAACAAATTTTGAGTAAATGTGTCAATGCTTGTTTTGTTTCAGTGACTAACACAAGATATATGCTACTGCAATTAGAGGGTAAGATTTTTTTCAGAAAATTATATGTGATTTTAAATAAATTTAAGGTTTAGGTTTATAATATATTTATTCAATGTTAAACATCCAATTTAACAAAGCTTAAGACTGCGGCTGCAGCAAATATTTCATAATCAATTAATCTGGAGATCATATTCTCAATTAATCCATCAATCATTTATTCTCAAAAATTGTTTTGTCCGACCATGAGTAGGTTCGACAACGTCACGATTTCATAACCGTAAGAATTGTAAAAAGTACAATATCTGACTATAATGGTGTCCTGCCTCTCGTTAGTCACATAATTTGTGTGCGCCACGCTGTGAAATCTCTCATGAGTCACGTTTAGTGTGCGCAAGCCACTAAAACATTAGTTCAGAAGAGGGAAATGATGTAGCGGCCTCTTTTCACCAACGCTGGACAAAGAACTCCATCGGATGAGTTCACAGCGAGAGGAGAAATCCTTGTTTACTTTTGGTTTCTGACCAGCTGACGCACACGCACGCACACGCACGCACACACACACACACACACACACACACACACACACACACACACAGTTTAATTTAATTCACTTGTACTGGGAGGTAATAGTATAATAAGGACATGAAGAATGTGGCCTGAACCAGAACAGTTTACCTTTTTCACAACTAGTCAACACTTTGCTCCCAAAACAACTTCTGTCAGTGACCCTTCACAATAAAGGTCCCATACAGATAAACTGCTTATGATGCCAGGAAACACAAATTCACTGACCAACCTTCCATTATAAGGCAACTAAATTAAATATCTTACATAGATTACTTTTAAACAGCCCAACGTTACACTATAAAAACTAACTGGATATCGTTGATGATAACAATAAATATTTTAGTTCATTAGCTATATTATTAGCTATATATTTGCTATATATTGTTTGTTGTGTCTTTTTCCTTCTATAGTATAAATAATCGTGAAAATCGTGAAACCGTGATATTTCCTCTGCCAATGATCATGGCACCAACATTTCATATCATGACATCCCTAACCAAGAGTTAGCAGATGAAGGAACCTGGAAATAGAGAATTTATCATTTGTTCTTTAATAAATTAACAATGGATCATTGAAATATTTGCTATTTGGATTTCTTTGTTGCAGCTGATTTGAAAGAGCCACAGAACAAGGGTCAAGGACAAGGGTCTGACATGTAAATCTGGTAGCATTTATGAGAAAGATTATGTCCATTCTTGTACCTGACAAATGGGTTTGTATTTTATGTATCTGCATTTTTATATGAATATGTTGAGTATTTTGATCTTTGAACCCCCGGGCCCAAACTCTAACCCAGTAAAAAAACAATCTGAAGAGAGCTGCGGTATCGCTGTGTTTTCTTGGTGTATGACCTGAACTTGCTGCATGCTGTCAAGACCAAGGTTTTTATGACAGGTGGAAACATTACCGCTTTTGTCCACAAAGTCAAAATCAACGAAAATGAAAAGTATCTTGTAGGTGCTCTAATGTATAAAGTGTAAACTACAGATAAACCGTTAAGATGAGCTCTTCCTTTGAGTTGGCCATGCATGTTATTTAAGTACTGTACTTTAAATGTCCTGGATTTTCTGAAACTCATCATCTTACTTTGCGTTGCTGTCATTGGGCTCATCTCCATCTGATGACGAGGAAGGCGACGGAGAAGGCCCGGACTGATTGCCCGTGTGATGATTAGGTAATCGACTTCCCGTCTGAGTGGAATCATATGGAGCCGACCAGTCAGAGAAGCCCATCTTGCCCGTCAACGAGTCGTTGCAGTCTTGAGACGGTGGAGGCGGGTTCTGGAACAGAGGGGTGGGGCCAGGTCCATATGGAGCATTTTGATAGGGTGGTTTGAATCCTGGAACCTGGGGAAGAGGGAACTGTAGTTGGACAGAAGAAGGGAGAGACGATAAAGGCCTTCCTGTCTCCAGATTAATGTGGAGCAGAGAACAATGATAAATATCAAACAGGATGAAGGAATCTACCTGATTCTTTCCAGGCTGCATCGGTCCCATGTGGCCAGGTGGTCCCCCAAACGGAGCGGGTCCAAACCCATGTACTGAGCATGGAGAGTCAAATTAAAACAATTAACAATTAAAATATCCATTTAAGTCCGGTTTCAATAGGACAAAAGTGATAACATAATGATGTAGAAGACAGATTCTGTTGAACAGTTTACTACTCACAGATGAAAGCGGAGGGCCCCATAGTGGGTGAACGTGGTTTTGAGGCAGCTGAGAAATAGTCCACAGCTTTCTTAAATCGCTCCACCTTGTCCTCCATACGAGACTGTGAGAGGAGCAGACCACTGTGCTCACCACAAAGCATGCTGGGATTGAAAATCTTACAAACGTTCATCAGACAAATTTCCCCTCAGTGCAAAGCAAGGATCTGGATAAACCTTGTGCTTGGTGTAAATATGTTTTCTCCTCCTTGAAAACAAAGTGGTCCCAAGTTACACTTTTATTATCATGTTTTCACCCCTTTATTACAACTACTGAAACTACTGAAGGATAACCAGTAAACTTGGTTGAGACAAACGTGATTACTAAGTTTCCAAAGTAGAATTTAGTCTGGAGGAGGCAGAATGAGATTTGACAGAGCCGCTCCATCAAATCTCAGTTTTCAAATTCTCTGTATTCTCAATTTTCTATAATTACTCTCTTCTTCCAACGATTGACGAAATACCTGTCAATGATCTGATTGTCTTGAATTTATCATCTAGGGCAGCAGAGCTCCAACTGAGTGGAATGGACCGCGTGAATGCATGGTGCACTGAACGCCACTTCTTGCAGTTTTTGCGAAACTTCTATCCCGCACGTTAATTTTGCAATGCTGATAGATTTTCCAAATATTGTGCAGCCAGAGTAATCCTGCTGACAATCTAACAAACCAATAAAGATAGACTCCTTGGCGGAGGTTAATAAACACCGATGTCGTCCCCTGACTTACTTGTGACTGTTTGAAGACATCTCTGGCGATGCCGTCGAGGTTTCCTAGGTCTTTGATGGAGGAGACGTACTCTGAGACTGCCTTGATCACCACCTCACAGGGCGGCAGCACCAACTGATGAGCTCGCACCTGTGACAGTAAACAAACAGCAGAAAGGTTTGGATTCATATATACCTAACTCAGCCTGAAGTCGCACCAACTTATCATTGCTTTATAGTCTTCAACATTATTGCCACCTGGTGGACTGGAATGGAGCATCTTGTTGTAGCTGTTGGTTGTTCATTCATCTGCAGAATAATTTGTCTAATCTTTAGACTGAGGTGGAAACTAGGGCTGCACGATTTTAGGAAAACATGCGATATACGCAAACATTGTTGAATATTGAGATGACATATGATTTGCAACAAATAATTAAATGGTTAACTATACAGTGTTTAAGTCTTTCTGCTTTGGTTTCACTGCCAACACAGACCCCATACAGTAAGTAGTCTATACAGACACTGAAAATGAATGAAAAGCATTATTTCCATTCCAACAACACGGTTTTACTGAAAACATTCCACCGGGCTACAGACGCAGGGACCATGGACAGCTCCACAGACCAAAGGGAGAGGGTGCACAGCCCGGCAACAGTACCGCTAAGTCCGGGACAGACACCAGGGCACACCTCCACTAAGTCCACTGTGATCATTTGGGGTCTTTTCATACATGTTCAGACCTTGAAAAGTAAATTTTTTTTAGCAGCTCTGTCAGTAATTTACTGCTGCTCTGTGTCGCTATTATTCACACAGCAAACTGCGCAAACAGCATCCAACCAAGCCGAGTGCGATAACCTCTCCTTCAGATCTACATACATTTACTACGTTTACAAATTCTGTTTTTTTTGTTGTTTTTTTTTACCAAGCCTGGGTTTATACATATGAGTGTATATGAGTGAGTGACAGAGGAAGAGAGCAAGCTGGACGCCTGATGAATGCGCTGCTCTGAAGAAAGATTTAACTCAGTTAGTATCGATCATTATGTGATGATCAGTGTTGATATTGTGACATTAGAGACAGCAAGAGCATATATCACACATGTTAATATCACAATGACGATAAATTTGATATATCGTGCAGCCCTAGTGAAAACAAAGGTGAACAACAGTCTGCAGGAGCAATTTCGTGCCTTGAAGCTCCTGGGACTAAAAGCTACAGGTACTTTAGGTCAAAATGCAGCATTAGTCTGCAGTGACCATGTGAAGTTAGTCGCCCTGGTATTAAATAATTAAAAGGTGAGAAACTTGTTAAGTTTATATATTTTAAGTGTTTCATGTGAACAGACAAGTGTTGGAAACTAATACCTAACAACTGGAAGGATTTTATTATGAAAGGGTAGAACTCAGCGCAGCAGATTAGTTTATGACAACATAATGATACAAGAGAGAAATCAGGTAATAAAAGCTGTTAAAAGAAAGCATCTGCTTGTTTAAACATTTAATTTATGTCAGGGCTCACAACATTGTTTGACAATTATTATGTAACACATAGACCTGATATTTGCAGAGGACTTTGTATGATACCTTGAGAGAAGCAAGTGGGTGTTCTGGTCCCAGCAGACTCCAATGGAAGGCGGCCAGGTCCTCATCAGGCAGAATATGATTTCCTGCAAGAGAGAAACACTTTGTGATGTTTGCTGCATCAATGAACAAGAGTGACAGACCAAAAGAGTCACAAGCAGTTGCATGTGTTTCAGTAAAAGAGCCACAATGATAAATGTGATGCACATCATTGAATTTGTGTCTGCAAGGGGGGTGTGATGAGTGTGTGTGAGTAGCTCCTTACCCAGCAGAGCAGCAAAGCAGGGCAGATGCTGCGTCTTCAGCCCCAGCTGTCTGGCGGCCTCAGACAGCAGATACTGGTGTGTGGTCAGGTTCTTGCCATTCCAGCTCAGTTTGAGAGCGTGCGAGGAGAAGTAGGCGGGAACGTTGCAGAGGGCAAACTCAGAATCCTGAGCAATCAGACCAGCAAACGCATAGTCTCTGTAGAGAGACAGCACCTCCTGGTGGTGGTCCTCCAAAGTCTGTACAACCTGTGGATGCAGGACAGACAAACTAAATAAAAACGCACTGTGGATGGAGTTTGATGGTACATCCAGTTAAAAGCATCAGAAAGCACCAGTCTGCTCAGAGGAATGCAGTGTGTTAGTATTTCTTGAGCGTTAACATGACAGCATTTGTCCATTGATGAAGTAGTTGATTGGCAGACAATCTGCAACTATTTTGATAATTGAGAGTAAATATGATAAACTTCAGTTCGACCTTGTGTTTTTTCTGCTTCGTATCACTGAAAACTGAAGATTTTGGTTGGACAATAGAAGTGTTAATCAATGTGAAAAGTAAATTATAACATTCAGTCACTTCATCAAAGATTTACTGAGCTAGTCATCAAATCACTGGATGTATATAAGGGACAGATTTGATAACACTGCTTCATATTTCTGTTGTGTCTTTCACTAATAACAAAAATAATGGTAAAAATTTATCTTAATGATCTAAATCATTTATGTGCAAAATGTTCAAAAACATAGTGAAGTCAAGTACATGCACAAAGAGCAGCAGCGTTTCATAACAGAGTCATTGAAGCACCAGATTCCTGAAGCTTTACAGATACTTTCTCAGAAGACAGTTAGAAAAAACAATTGCACATGGGAACTGTGAGTGATGATGCTGTACAAGCACAAGGATATCCTCTCAATATACACGATAGTGTTCCCAGCATGCAAGCTGATGGAAGGACAAACCCGAAGGCAAACGGTGACAGCTGTGTAAACAACATGCCTTGAATATAACATATTCAGTGCCCCATGATAAGATGTGTGGTTATTTTATTTCATGATATTTTATATACAGTCCATGCACCATACTGTATTTTATGTCAAAATAATGTCAAATGCACAAAAAGAAAAGTGAAAAGAGTATTTCAAACTTTCATCAACAAACTAAAATACATGAAATGGGAGGTTGGACACGTATTACTGTCAGAACTATAACGTCTACACACTAGGGATGTCACGATGTAAAATTTTGGTGTCTTGATTATTGCATTGTATAAATATCACGGTTTCGCAATTATTTATACTATAGAAGGAAAAAGACACAACAAACAATATATAGCAAATATATAGCTAATAATATAGCGAATGAACTAAAATATTTATTGTCATCATCAACGATATCCAGTTAGTTTTTATAGTGTAACGTTGGGCTGTTTAAAAGTAATTTACGAAAGATATTTTATTTAGTTTCCTTATTGTGGAAGGTTGGTCAGTGAATTTGTGTTTCCTGTCATCATAAGACATTAATCAGTATGGTACCTTTACTGTGAAGGGTCACCGATGGAAGTTGTTCTGTATTGGGAGCGACGTGTTGACTAGTTGTGAAAAAGGTAAACTGTCCTGGTTCAGGCCGCATTCTTCATGTCCTTATTATACTATTACCTCTCATTATATGTGAATTAAACTCCTGGCTACATTTACAACGATTTATAGGAAGACAGAGAGAGGGGGGTGTGTGTGTGTCAGCTGCTCCTGCAGAGCTGGTCAGAAATCGAAAGTAAACAAGGATTTCTCCTCTCACTGCGAACTCCTCGGATGGAGTTTTTTGTGGTGGAAATAAGGCCGCTACATCAGTTCCTCCAATGGCTCGCACACACAAAACGTGACTCGTGAGAGATTTCACAGCACGGTGTACAGAATAGTTAGATATCTTAGTTTTTACAATTTTTACAGTTATGAAATCGTGACGTTATCAAACCACAGTTATCGTTAAATCGGTTAATCGCAACATCCCTACTACACACTCAGAAGTTGTTCAACGTTGCACGAAAGGATCACTGAGTTCATGTTATGGATTATATAGACTTGACTAGATCATAACAACCAATTCAGGTTTCCTGCTGCTTTTTGGTCAGGATGCACAGACCATCATCTGATATATAGATCTGAAAATATCAGTGGCAAGAACATTTCTCTCTTTGTGGAACAAACCCAAAAACATACAGTACGCATAGCAAGCTACAGACTGCAGCTATATCCTGCAGCTATAGACATGCATAGACTACAGCTACAGACGTGTATAGACTACAGCTAAAGGCCACAGCTACAGGCCACAGCTACAAGCTACAGACTACAGCTACATGCCACAGCTGACTGATATAGACTGCAGCTATAGACTACAGCTACAGACATGTATAGACCACAGCTATAGACAACAGCTACAGATGTGTATAGACTACAGCTAAAGGCCACAGCTACAGGTCACAGCTACAAACTACAGCTAAAGACTACAGCTACATGCCACAGCTACAGACTACACATACAGGCCACAGCTGACTGATATAGACTGCAGCTATAGACTACAGCTACAGACATGTATAGACCACAGCTACAGACATGTATAGACCACAGCTACATGCGACAGCTACATGCCATAGCTACAGACATGTATAGACCACAGCTACATGCCACAGCTACATGCCACAGCTACAGACATGTATAGACCACAGCTACATGCCACAGCTACAGACTACAGCTACAGCCCACAGCTACAGGCCACAGCTACAGGCCAAAGCTACAGGCCAAAGCTACAGACCACAGCTACAGACCACAGCTACAGACATGTTACACATGTACAGACTACAGCTACAGACCACAGCTACAGGCCACAGCTACAGGCCAAAGCTACAGGCCACAGCTACAGACCACAGCTACAGACCACAGCTACAGACATGTTACA